CTATTCTCAAGAAAAAGTATGATATTCTTATTGTTGGGGATGTTCATATCCCTGTTGAGGTAACCTAGTGTTATTCGAAATTTCTCCGGTTCTGTGTTATTCGGAATGAGTTTGTTAACAAGACTTGATCAACCTTGTTAGTGGATTCATTTTGATGATCATGAGATGGATGAAACTAGAAGGCACAACCTTCTGTACCCTCTTTTTATTTTCTGTTATTTAGAATAAATAAAGCAAAAATAGTATTATCTGTCTATTTTCTGAATTATCCGTGCAATAAAAAAATATCCCAAAAATAAAAGTGCTCCAAATGCCCTGCAAATTTAGTATGATTTTTTATGGAATATTTGAGGATTTTAGGCACCGAGAACACTGCAGGGGAGCAAGCACCTGGCCACGAGGGTGGAGGGCGCGCCCACACCCCCTGGGCGCGCCCCCATGTCTTGTGGGCCCATGCTGGCCCCCTCCACTTATTCCTGCACCCACACACTCCATCTTCTTCCTAAAAAATTCCCCATCCAGCTCAAGCACGAGTTATATCTCATTTTGCTGCGATTTTCGATCTCCCTGCTCAAAGCTCCATTCACAAAACTGCTTTGGGAGATTGTTGCTTGGTATGTGATTCCTCCATTGATCCAATTAGTTTTTGTTCTAGTGCTTTATTCATTGCAAATTTTTGCTGCATAGGTGACCCTGTTCTTGAGCTTGCACGTCAAATTTATGAGGTCCCAAGTAATTCTAATGCATGATATAGGCTATAGGCACTTGTAGGAGTAGTTGCAATCTTGTTTAGTTTTATTCACTTTTAGTTTGAAGTTACTAAAAATTTCAGAAATTTTCAGAAAATGATAAGGAGATTTTTGAGGGGCTCTTCTAGCTAAGGCTCCCAGGATAAACAAGCTAAAGAGAAGGAGAAGGCCAAGTATAATCTTCCTTGCGTAGCGGAAGTATGTCCGTTTGAATGGCCCTGTGATAACTTCTTGAGAGAAGCCAGGATTTATGAAGACTTTATTCTTTGATTGAAATGCAGGCCTCACCTACTTACTCCACGACCGGATCGATCAGTATCTCTTACTCACCAATACTTTCGTGCAAAACTTTTATAACTATCCTAAGAATTCACCTCCTTCAGTTCATTTCATTTATATGATGAATTCAAGGAAATGTCTTTACGTAATTTTTGCGCGGTATGTAGAATACCCTTTGAGGGCAGATTAGATGAACCACATCATAAAGATGTGGATGGCTTTGTTAACTCCATTACTGTAGGGGATCCAAAGAAGGGCTCCGATGCGAGAATCTCTAGCATACACTTTCCTGTTTTATGCTACTTTGCCTTATTTGCTAGTCGATGCTTAAAATAGTGGAAATTTTAGTGTTCCTGATATTATTATTCTATTCCATGCCTTGTTTGGTGATAATAGTTTTAGTATGGGTGCCGTTATTGCTAAACGGCTAAGCCTGAACCGTACAAAAGGGCCCATCTTTGGAGGTACCTATGTTGCACGTCTTGCTAAACATTTTGAGATACCTATTAGGTACCATGAGAAAGAGGAGAGAATATTGCCTCCTTACCTTTTAGATTACAGGAGAATGGTGGCACATGAGTTTATTGTTCACAATGATGATAAGATGCTCCTGTATAACTTGAGATTTAATAAGAAACACAATGAGATTATTATCCTGCCTGCGCCTCTGTTGTTTGATTTGACTGTAGTTAATTATCTTGTCTCGCCGGAAGCGGTGTATGCTCATCGAGGCCAAGCATCCGCTCCAGAGCCTGAGCCAGAACCTCCACTGGACCCTTATCATTCATCATCTTACCAGTGGGATCCGGAGGAGATGGCCAGCCAGTGGTACCCCGATGACACTCCTCAGTATACCGGGGAGAGTAGTCGTTATCCTTGGAAATAGACCAACTTAGGCCAAAAGCCTAAGCTTGGGGGAGTACGTATTTCTCACCGACTTTACATTCATGTTCACACACTATTTTAGTTGTCGGTGCTCATACTCTTTCATTGTATTATTCATGCTAGTTTAATTTTCTTTTTTCTAGCTTTCTTCTTGTGTGTTTGATAAACCTTAAGAAAAAACAA